GCAGGCGAGCAAGGCTTCAAAAATTTTGAAATCAGCCCTTTCCTGATTGATAGACCTCCTATAGGGCATGGTTTTCCAGAAGAGACCAGTTTCTTCTCATTAACAGTCTGTACAGGCACGGTGGTTCCCCTCTTCCCACCTGAACTCTTCTCCCTGCCTTGTGCCCTGGCTGATGTTATCCATTGGTGGTGGCAGAGTTGGCAGGACTGTGGACATCATTCCAGCTTTGTTGTACATGGAAGGGCACATGTTGAAAGGCTCTGGAGGGAAGAGCTTCAGTACCTAAAAAGTTGACCCCATAATGTCACCCATAACCTGTGGTGTTTCTGCCTGGCGCTCTTTTGTGGTGATTTGCTGACTTGGGAGACATTGCCAGTGTCTCCTGGGAAGTGGGTGAGAACTTCTGAACACGTGAACCTTTTCCAGTCAGAATTGCTCAGGGATTTTTAAAACTTCCAATTTGGAAAGGAGGGAGTAGTTATTTCGGTGAGATTGCGGTCTAGTGGTTAATCCTTGTGACTGGGGGTTACGGCCAGAGGACTCAGATTCTTTTCCAGGCTCTTCCCCCAAAACTCAAGTCTGCCAGTGACGATTCCTTCCAAAATGTTGCTCTTGGGCCACCAAACATGCTTTCCTATGTGATCTTGGCTGTCTGGACGTAGGGCCTGGCGAAGGGAGGTATCCTGACTGACATGATTTTGCAGGCCTTTTTTATACGTTCATTCATTCCCTAACCCAAGGAATGGCAAACTGTGACCCACAGGCCAAAGCTATCCTCACATCCTGTTTTCGTACGGACTGTGAGCTAAGAATGTACGCTAAAATCTAACAAGTAACTATCTTTGAATGGTTTGGGAAAAAAAAAAGAAGACTAATATTTCCTGATAAGTGAAAATGATAAATGAAATTCCAATTTCAGTGTCCATCAATAAAGTTTTATTGGAACGCAGCCACACTTCGTTTTTGTGTTGCCTGTGGCTGCTTTCCTGTTACAGGCAGAGTTGAGGAGTTGTGACAGAGACAGACAGAGACAGAGACGGTGTGGTTCTGAAAGCCTAAGGTATTTACCCCCTGGTGCTTTGCAGAAGAAGTTTGCCAGCCCTAGCCCTGAATAAATAAAGGGATGAGCTGCGCTTGCCCGGTTCGTCTGTTGAACAGAGTGAATGAAAGGAAGTGCCTTGAAGCCGCTCTGGTGTTTTATCAAGATGTGGAGTTTCCTGGCAGCGTCATCATCATCACCGTCAGCCTTTGAGTTCTCCTGTTTGCTTAATTTGTACAGAGTCCTCAGAAACAGCCCTAGGTGGCAGGTTCTCTCTGACCAGTCCATTGTTGCCGCCTGTCACTGATGCTGGATTCACAAGGATGAAGATGGCTTTTGGGGAGCAGGTCCTATCATTCTGACTTGAATAGGTACCAATTACTGCAGCAATGAAGGAGCCCTGGTGGCGCAGTGGTGAAAGCGCTCTGCTGCTAATCAAAAGGTCAGCGGTTTCAACCCACCAGCTGCTCCATGGGAGAAAGATGTGGCGCTCTTCCGTAAAAGATTCCAGCCTTGGGAAACCTATGGGGCAGTTCTACTCTGTCTTGTAGGGTCGCTATGATTCGGAATTGACTCAGGGGCAATGAGTTTGGTTTTGGTTTTTTGGCTGCAGAAGCTGGATCCTTAGAGGCCTCCTGATTGGGAAGACGCTCCTGCGTCCCTTTCTTTTCCCCTTTTTATGGGGAGAGGTGGAGGAGGAGAAATTAGAGATGTTTACCTTTTTCTTCTTGCTGACAATTTAACAGGCTTTTAAAAACTCCTTTGATTCCTTTCAGGCCATTGGGGTTGCATGTATTTTAGGACTTCGCCCAGTGGTCCAAAGCTTAACTTAAGCTCCCTGAGACATATCATAAAATATGATTTGGGGGAAAGCCCTAATGGACCATGATCAGAACATTATTATTAAACAAAGGATGAAATGCCTAAGCCAAGATGGCCTTATTTTTGGAGCAGACTCCATTTAAACAGTTTTCAAGGCAGGAATTCCCACAGTCCCATTTGATTGCAGTTTGTTGAAAAGCTTAATGTTTTTGTAGGCAATTCATAATTTCCACGTGCAGCAGCCGGAGGAGAAGAGAGCTGGAGCCCAGTGTTGTTTTTATAGTGGGATGGTGGGAACTCCCCCCACCCCCACCCCCAAAAAGAAAAAGGATGTAAAACCAAAGTTGAACGTTTGGGAAAATTTGGCGTGGTATTCCAGCCCTTTTGTAAATCTGAGATGCCCATTCTTTCTGCTCTTCCTTTAGGACCCAACAGAGTAGAATTTTCTGCTGCTTAATGTCTCCCGGAAGGAAAAGATTTCCCTCTAGGCTGTAATAGTACCTAATTTCCTTTTTCTTCCCTTTATTTATTTATTTTCCCGATTAATAAGGACCCATTGCAGGAGATGAAGGAACTTGGGAAACCCATCACTTTTGGAGGAGGTTAATCATTTCCTTTTAAAAATCCTGACATAGTATTTATTTCCCCCCCAAAAGAACCTTCTCAGCCAGAATGCCAGTTAAGATCCAAGGTACATGGCGTGGATGTGTGGGGATCCTGCCTCTATGGCATCACGTTGCGTTGGGAAGGAGAGGTTGGGACAGTCACTGAGGAGTCCCTGCAGGTCAACAGGACAGGGCTGTCTTCCGCCGCCATCTGGATTCGGTTAGCCCTCTCTGGGCAGTGGGGCCGAGTCTCATTTCCTTCAACCAGTAATGTTATATAGGCAGTGATCCTGGGCTGCCCTAACATAATTGAAAATTATGTGTATTGCAGGCTTGGAGCGCTTAAATGTAGGCTCATAAAAATATGTGGTGCAGGTAGCCTGCAGAGATTGGGTATGGCACACAATGAAGCTTTTATGTAAAGAATTATAAGTCTCCACGTTAGTATTGCATTATGGGAATGACAGTTCTTGGGTGGGGCTGGTCCTCAGGGTAGGCCTGTCGCCTGAAACCTAAATTTCCTAATTCTGTGGAGCTGGTGTTAGGAGGCAGTCAAATCAGGTTAGCAGATGGCCAAAGATAAAAATGAGTTCATTAACTGGACACTCCCCACCCCACACCGAGGGTGGAGTGAGGTGTAGATGTTCAGCCACTCAGCTGGGCACTTTTGTTCTCAGTTTGCAGGGGATAGAGAGGTGAGTGTTGGTGGGTGTCCATTTTGGTTCGCCTCTAGGAAGTGACTCTGTTGGGTGGTTTTGCCAGTGCAGCCCGTATATTTATGTGGCATGTGAGACAGGGAAGAAGTCAGGGTGAGACAGGGAAGAATAGATTCCCATTGTCCTCTTGCTTGTGTTACAGGGTTGAGGGAGACCTTGGAAACATTTGCTTCAGTGGTTCTGAACCTGGGATGATATTGCCCCCAAAGAAGGTGTTTGGAAATGGCTTAGTTCCAAGGATGACTGGGAGGTTTCTGCTGGTATTTACTGTCTAGGGGCCTAGAATCCTAGAAGTCCTTCAGTGCTTGGGACAGCCCTTCACCCCACCCCCATCAGAGACAGGCCAACTCGTTCCACTTATTGATGAAACACTAGAGATCCAGAGAGGCCAAGGGATTTGCTGCAAGGTATAGGATACCTGGGAGCGGGGGGGATGGGGAGGCACTACCAGAGCCAGCAGTAGTAACCAGGTTTCCTCACTGGAGGAGGCTTGAAGGTAAAAGTTTTGAAGTTGTAGAAGGTACTTACTTGTTCCTACCTTGTATACATCTGTTCTTGTTGTTTTGTGCCATTTAATCAATTCCGATTCATAGCGACCCCTGTGACAGAGTAGAACTGCCCCATAGGGTTTCCTAGACTGTAATCTTTTTTTTTTTTTTTTATAATTCATTTTTGTTGTTGTTGAGAATGTATACAGAAGAACATAGTAATTCAACAGTTTCTGCATGTACAATTCAGCGACATTGATGACATTCTTTGAGTTGTGCAGCCCTTGTCACGCTTGTTTTCTGAGTTGTTTCTCCCCCATTAACATAAACTCACTGCTCCTTAAGTTTCCTATCAAATCTTTTCAAGTTGCTGTTGTCAGTTTTATCCCATATAGATAGATCTTAAAAGAGTGTAATGCTCAAAGCTGACATTCTTTACTAGCTAAGCTAAACTATTGTTTGGTTTTAGGAAGACTTCAGGGGATGTTTTTGGTTTAAGGTTTAAAGATTGTCTCAGGGCAATAGTTTTTGGGATTCATCCAGCCTCCATGGCTCCATAAAGTCTGGATTCCATGAGAATTTGAAATTTTTTTCTGCACTTCCCCCTTTTGATCACGATTCTTGTATAGAATCTTTGATCAAAATGTTCATTAGTGGTACTAGGCTGTAATCTTTATGAGAGCAGATCACCAGGTCTTTTCTCCCACCAAGTCTTTTCTCCAGCAGAGCAGCTGATGGGTTTGAACTGCCAACCTTTCAGTTAGCACACTGGCACTTAACCATTGTGCCATCTATGTTGGAAAAATATCTAGGTGTGTTGGTAGGTAGTTTGTGAGCAAGGGTCTTCCAGCTTTAGCTGTGAGCGAGTTTGGTTTTATTTTGCTGGAAGAGTCGTATCTTTGAGCAATCCAGTGGATGGGCTTGTGGATGGCTTTGGTCTTTTCCATCTCACATGGGGAGCTCAAACTTTTTTCTTCTTTCTGGAATGCCCTTTGCAGTCCTTTTCCTTTCTGTTGACATCTTATATATCAAGGCCTACCCTGTGCAAGCCTTCCCAAGTCCCTTTTCCTCAGAAATACTATATTCTTTCTTGGCAATCCCTGGGCACAGCGTATGTCTCAGAGCTTCACTGCTTTGGTCTTGAGTTGTGTGTGTGTGTGTGTGTGTGTGTGTGTGTGTGTGTGTGTGTGTGTGTGTGTGTATGCGCACGCGCGCGTGCGCGTTGGCTCCCTCACTGGTGTATAAGCTCCCTGAGGGCAGACATCTTTGTATCTGCATAATGCTTAGCAAGAAAGTGGTGCACAAAGCAAGGTTTAATCGATGTTCATTGAGTAAAATTTCCTGTAGAATTAATATTAAAACTAGCCATTTATTTTGCTTTGGGTCTTTAAAGAGATCAAACAGGCTTCTTATATAACTTGCAAGCATTAGCCGATGCCTTAGTCACTTGGCCTTTGGAGGTACAAAGAGTTGTATTGATGTTCTTGTTAAAACCTTACAATTGTGTCCAAGTTTTGTTTGATTGTCTGAAGATTTCCTGAAAAACTGGTGGTAATGTCACCAACCAAAATCACATGCCTGGGAGTAGCCAGTATATGTGTTAAATATCTCTGTGACTGGGAAGCCATTTTATCTCAGTTTTCCTATCTGTAAAATGGGGAGTCAGGTCAGTTGAGTGTTCAGGTCCCTCTAAAAGCTGATGTATCATTTTTGACGAAAGTTGTTCTCTTTCTCTTGTGCCCATGCCTTCATTTTCTACCCTAGAGAAGGATGGGGATAGGCATAATTGGCTTAGACCTCTATTTTTATCCCTGGAGTAAACCTGTGCATATTTACAAATTTTTCTGGTGCATAGAGGTTTGGAGATGAGTGTATAAATTGCCTTGTATCCTGTTTGTATGTCTTTTACTGAAAAATATTCTCGTCTTATAGGCTTTTGGATAGGATGAGAAATTCTGTCCTCACTTCACTAAAGTAGCCTCTACTGGGTAAAGGAAGGTTGCCCACATGTACTCAGCCTTCTTTAAAGTGAAGCATGCTGACATTTTTTAAAAAAGGAAGGTCAACAAGTTGCTGAAAGAGCAGATTCAGAATGATGGTCTCCTAGGACACTGCTAGCTTGAGATTCCTCTGCTTTCTTCTTAGGAATGGTTTGTGTTCCCTCCCTTCTTTTTCCTGTCCCCTCACCACTGCCCCCTCTAGACAAGGTAGTATTAATGAAATCATTTTATGTGAATCTACTCTCTAGTTTGAATGCAAAGATTATTGATGTTCTAGACATGTGCACATGGAACATGAACTATAAGGAAGAACCTGTTGACATTGCTTGATTTTGTTGGTTTGTTTTGTTATTACTTGTATACTTTCAAGTCACTCAGTCTCTGACACACATAACAGTTATCTCTTGTTCTAGCTGTTTTGCATTTTTTCCCTAAATTCATTGTTTTTGCTTTTCATTTTTGTTTCCTCCATCCAGTATCTCCAGATGAAATGGCCACTGCTTGATGTTCAAGCAGGAAGCCTCCAGAGTAGACAAGCCCTCAAGGACGCCCGGTCTCCATCCCCGGCACACATCGTCGTAAGTAACCTCACAAAGACAGTTGCTTCTTTTATTGGGGGGAGATGAAGAAAAAGCTCTTTTGATGATAACAGGTCTTGTTTGTCAGTCTGTGTTTCCTTAAAAAAATGTTTTTGGAATGTTGTTTGGATATGGTTTATATCTATAAGGTACTCTTTCTGCTATTGGACTTTAGATATCGTAATCTACCCTAAAATTGTCTAAACCTTCCCTTCTCCCTTTTCTCCATGTGTTGAATCTAGTCTTACGGAGCCCAGTTAATGGGACACAGTCACCATGGTTTGGGGGAGACTAGAAATGGTATCAGAGCAATTTAAAAAAAAAACAAAAACACCAAAACCTTCCCTGAAAAAGCCATTGAGGGGAGGGAAGGTTGAGGAGGAGGGAATCAGAAAACTCAAAAAGGAGGCCCTGGATTTGAAGCTTGCAAATGCCAACCCCTCCCCCCAATTTATCATAATATTTGTTGGAAAATAACATTCTGCACTAACATTACAATTTTTTTGGAGGGGGTCAGGTCTGGGCTGATTCATTCTAAACCTAGAGTAGAAATAAACCTAGAAAGGCTTACATTAAATTCAATCTGTATATCCATGGCTTTGAAAGTATGTGGGTTTGATATAGGAAACATTTGTTTTTAGTACTAAGAGACTGCAACATAAAGTGTGTGTCTACATATATTTTTAATGCACTTTCTTAGGATTTTGTGGGCTCTGAAATTGAAATTTATAAATTAACCTCTTGAGAAGATAGCACAGCCTTATTAGAATATTCCCTTCTATGTGTTTATATCATGAGCTGGACTTCATACTTTAGAAATAATTAACAGGAAACATTTTTTATAATGAATTCCACAGGTAGAATTATGCAAAACATGAAACAATTCATTTATTTTTTATTTAAGTATCACGAAAAATGTTATCAGTAATATATTTTGCCTCTGTTTTCAATGTTATATTTAAAGACTGCAAGATAATTTTCTTAAGTAGAAAAATGTTAAGACACATTGTATCAAATTTCAGGCTAACTCCTTCATTCTTTAGCTGGCTATAACTGAGTATACATTATTTAATGAACTATGCCTCTGTTATATGAATACTCAGTTTATATATGTATGTGTATGTATACACACGTATATAAATATATGAGAGTCTGTGTGTGTATGAATGTGTGTATATATATATATGTATGTATATGTATATTACAAAATAGTTTATTTCCATAAAAGCACATTTTGAGCTGTCATTTGTAAAAATGTCTTATTTTCTTATGATGTGAAGCAAGTAGAAAGAAGGTTGACATTTGCCAGAAACATCCTCCTTATCCCAGGTCCACAATAAATGGATGCTCCTAATTAGACATGCTGATATAAAGTCATGATTTCTGGATTGGAAGTGACCTCTTATTATCTAGGCCCAACTTGCTCTCAGAAAAGGAAACTGAGGCCCAGAGATGCCAAGTGAATTGCCCAATGTCACACGCTGAGTTAGTGGCTAGAGCGAGGACTATATCCAATTGTCCACTCCCTTTCCAGGGCCTTGTGGTATATTCTCTTCTAAGAGTGTTTAAAGTAACTTTCTATGGCTGATTGTGCTTTGCTTACTATGAATTGGGGCATCATCAGGGACAGTGACTTAGGCGTGAAGAAATTGCAGGGCCAGGGTTCTGGTGAAGATTTCTCTTAGAAAAGTCAATGTCATATTAAAAATGTTTTTAACAATATACAAAGATGAAAAAAGTGTGGTAGTTCTATAGTTCTCTTAGAAGGTAACATGAGGTGGCCTCTCTGTTTTCCTTTTCCTGCCTCCCTGTGTTTCCAAATGTGGTGCGGGCTTTGAAATTCATTTCTCTGCTTTTGGGAATGCTTGGCGAGGACTTCCCACTTTTTTAGCTTTGGAGAAAAGGACATTAAGATCTCATGAAGGGCCCTTTCTCTCTTTGAGTGTGGAGAGAAGATGTAAATTCGAAGTGCTTCAGAGTGGACAGCCCCTCATGGGTGTGGCATGGAGCTCCATGGGCCCCATGCTGATGAGCTTTACCCCCATGGAAGAGTAGGAATTTGTCCGTTCAGAGAGAGGTAATGATTGCCACCTCCCCTTAAGCCCCACCTACGCACACGGACACACAAATCCCAGTAAGAACAGTTGCCACAGTTTAGGTTCTAAGGACCTCATTTTCATGTGTAGAAATTAACAATCTGTAGAGATGGTAACCGATTTTTTCCCAGAGCCAATGTCGATTTCGGCCAGGGGAGCAGTGAGGGGACTTCAGTTCCTTTTTCCTCTGCTCTTTAACAGAAGGCATGTTTACCATAGCAACCACTTTGGAGCACACACCACCTTTGAGATGGAGACCCTTGTCCAAAGGAGCCACAGCTGGCAACTGTAATGCGATCTTTTGTGCTTGCTACCTTGCTCTTGGGAACCTGGGGAGTGGCCATTGCAGAGAGATTGTGGGCTGGTGGGGGAGGGCAGGCTAGGGAGCTGGGGAGAGGAGAAAAGTCATAAGCTCGGCAAAAAGGAACCCAATTTGTGAAATGCTGAATGCTTGTGGCAGCCGAGTGGTGACTTTGGTTAGATGAGTCAGCCTTGTGATTGTGCATTTCTGCAACCTCTACTTGACATCAAGGGCTGAGAGGTAGGACACTCCAGGGAGGAGTAGTTAGTAGAAGGAGATGGGAAAGTAGGGTGGAAGGAAGACTGTGAACCTTGACCTCTTCATTCACCTGGCCATGTATATTTTTTGGGCAGAGGATTCATGCATTTGGGGCTACAAATTTCTGATTACCTTTTCAGTTGTCATAGAATAATGTGTCTCCTAAAACCAACTTGGCAGCTACAGTGTGTCTGTATTTATAAAGGAAGCATTCTGAATTATGGCTGATATATCATTTGGGTCTTTGTACAGTTGAACATCGGCCAGAAGGGTCTGGTTCATGTTCAGGCTCGCTGATGAATGGCCAACTTTCACCAGACACTGGAGCTCTTTCCCACATTTTGTTTTTCATGCTTTTAAATAAAACATTGTCACATCACACAGTTTCATCAGACGTGTTTCAAAATAATTGTCTAAAGATTGCTTCCTAATTTCTCTGAAATTTGGATTTATTGTAACTTTTGGGTCAAGCTATTTCATAATTATTTCCAAGGTTTAACTTTGAAAATAGAGAAGTTTTCAGAGTTTGTTAGTAGTCATTAGAGGTTATAACTATTACAGGTGGCTAAGAAAATAACTTTCTCTAATACCCATTTGGGGCAGAATCTTAATATGGAAATTTAAACCATTTTGTTGGAATATTTTAATCTATTTGGATTTTTGTTTTCGTCTGATATATGGGTTTACCACATTATAAAATATTGATGTGTAGGATAAGTGTTCTTAACAAGTGAAGTAAAATTTATCAAATATTTAAATTAAAAAATAAGCCCCACAAATTTTAGTTTCTGTAACTGATACAGCATCTTGTTTGTTATAATCCAGCTGCTCCTAAACTGTGTTCAGAGGAGAGAGGAAATTATTCCCCAGGGATGTGGTGTCTTGATTGGCTGGCCCCAAATTGGGAATTTACATAATGGATCTGACTTTTCTTTCCCTCCCTGCTTCCCTCTCCCCATACCAGTTGCAGTCAAGTTGATTCTGACTCATGGTCACCCTATATGTGTCAAAGTAGAACTGTACTCCATAGAGTTTTCAGAGGCTGCTTTTCTGGAAGTAGATCTCCAGGCCTTTCTTCCGAGGCCCTCTGGGTAGCCTTGAAACTCTAACCTTCCGGTTAGCATCGGAGCACATTAACTGTTTGTACCACCCAGGGACTCTCCCTCTCTCCTCATACGACTCCCCTTG